CGACAAGAAAAAAAAGGACTCAAACGTTTTGTTCCTCATCCTCTTTTCTGGTCTATCTGTCAGACCAATCAGATTCGTCAAAGAGCAAAAGGGATTCGAAATACAAATCAATGTCATATTTATGGTATCTAGTAACAAAGGCAAAAAAAATACTTTAGAGAACAAAAAATCGTTGTTTTTTTTAAAAGACTTAAGTACGGTATGATTTTGGATGACAGACTGTCAGAAATGATCTCTTGTGTAAATCTAGGTCGACTTAATCTGTAACTTTGTGTACTTCGAGAGATTTCAATATGATTAGGTACTTTCCTTAATTAAAAACAAATTATGTCAACTGTTCAATACAATAAAATATGAAAAAACAATCAGACTTTCAATTATTGTTTTTATGACCAACTTACACTAATTTAATTTTAGTACTCTTCCAGCAAATTTTTTAAAAATAATTATGCTACTTGACGCTAAAAAAATGTGACGTCACAATATACAACCTCGTACAAAATTCAGTCGTTTTTGACATTTCTAAATAGTATTGAATTTGACTAGTTGGCTAGTACCGAATTGTTGACTGTAGTATCTTTGACTTAGGGGTGATTTTTCAATCAACAGACAATTCTTATATTATTATGTAGCATATAATTACAGGTTATATGTAGCATATAATATTAGGAAAATAATATTACAGGTTGTAGTATGGAAAAATGCAAATATTGTCAAATATTCATAATTATTCCTTCAATAAAAATTATTTGGCTTTCGAAAAATCAGTCTTTAGAATAAGAAAAACAAGAGTAATAACAGTAAGATTCAAAGCCAAGCCTCTATTATATCGGGACTTATTTTATTATTCAAATGGTTGAGACGTAATGCGAGATGATAATACAATCAAATGCCTTTGTGAGTTTGTTTTTATGGACCATTAACCTCTTGACTGCCGCAGTATGAGACACAATACAAAATACATTGTGACTCGCTTTGATCTTCGTTCCGGAAAACTGGAATTGGGTAGTACAACCAACGCGCTGGATAAGTCAACATACGCATTGTTGTATACATTTATTGCTTCCGAGTATATGTACATATTATAGAGGTATATAAAGTCACGTTATTTATCCCCGAAATGGTAGGCAGAGGTGCACATTACTGCATTTAATGCTACTGTACAATGTAACACCCACTTTTTACTATCTATGTTACGAGTCCCATGTAATAGGGGGTGAGCCTATTGCCATATACTGGGCACAATTCCAGACTCCGTGCTACTACCGAGAATTAAAAAAAAATCCCTTGAAAATTAAAAAATAAAACCCCAGTTGCACTTGCGACCATTTGGCCAATAGCAATCTTACGAGTACTGCTTGGTAATAAAGTAAAAATGATTAGATATTACTATATTTCAAACAAAATTACATTTTATTTTCTTTATGTATCGTTAAGATTATACTAAGTTAAATAGTGAATTAAATGTCGGAGATTGTGTATTTGCCTAGCTTTAAACAAAGTTGATAGACATTGAGCAAAACAAGATACATTTTCTGGATGATTTTGAAAAGGATTTGGATTTAGGATAATCAGTCGAGTAAGTATCGAGAGTGTGTTTTCAAAAACACTTTATGAGTACATACAGATTATAATTAATACTTAACTCGTCGAGTACCGGTTTTGTAGACACAATTATAGAACAATAGGTTGCGGTCACCGGTGACCGCTTGGTGTTTGACAGTTTAAAGCAAGAGTAAGAACGGCATGTTTTTAGATCAATAACAGTCTTAGATTCACTCTTGTCTCATCCAATGTGAATAAATCATTGACTTCTCCCTTCCAAAAAAGACCTAGTTCTATAACTTATAAATTGCACAAAACTTGTCACCAGTTGTAGCCAGTCAGATACTGGGACAACCTTACAGTCAAATTAGCTCTCAGTAATGACTCAATTAGTAAAAGCCTCTATCATAAATTTGGGTGACATATTTGATCTGTAGGAAGGACGTAAGTAAATACATCCCTGACTTTTTGTTCCAAAGAAAACTTGTGTAAATAGTGGTACTCTCCAATAAATCCCTATAAAGTCAAGCAAAAAGGTTTTACTTACAGTACAGTCACTTTTCATTATAATAGGGGCGAGCCTATTACTGAACTCTGGACATAAATCTAAATTCCGTTGTCGTTTAAAAATTAATAGGTTGGGTATTTGTGTGTTTGTCTTATGTCACCACAAAGCTAGTCTTTTTTTTTGTTTTCTATATATATGCATATAGGTAGTAAAATCTATGTTTTTTATGTATGACTGCCTCGTTGGCCGACTGGTCGCAAGTGCGACTGCCAGGCAAGAGGTCTCGGATTCGATTCCCGGGTCGGGCAAAGTATTACTGAGTTTTTAAAAAATTCTCAGTAGTAGCACGGAGTCTGGAATTGTGCCCGGTATATGGCAATAGGCTCGCCCCCTATTACATGGGACTCATAACATAAATAGTGAAAAGTGGGTGTTACATTGTTGTGGTATAATGTGCACCTTTGCCTACCCCTTCGTGGATAAAAGGCATGATGTTATGATTTTATGTAATCTATGTTTTTTTCATATGAATACGTGGGCAAACCCGTGGCTGGACAACTAGTTTCGAAATAAAAGTCTCATCACATGCAGTAAGTAGTGACTATTTCTTATTATTACAAGATCAAAGTCTCTGTAATAACAATTGAACATCGTTTGAAGATGTCGTATGCTTTTCAATTAAATTGATACGGCTTGTGCAGTTCTATGCATTGTTGTTCGATCAGCGCAATGCAATTGTAATTCGAAACAATAAGAAAGACTTTCTTTTATTTATTCTCTTACAAAGGAATGACCCCTATCATTTCTGTACCAGGAAAAGCAACCTGTTTTAGTTTTTAAGTAAGAGATTTTTCTGTAGTGCGGTTGCCCAGTCAATGCACCAACCATGCAGTCCAGTGCGGAACAGTAGATTACTTCTAGCAATAAATATACTTGTAGTTAATGTAAATATCGCTTGGAAACGTAACATATTATACATATATTATGCACATTTATATTTACTTTAATTTACATATGCACGTGTTAAACCATATTATTTGTATAGTTGAATCTTTACTCCACCCGTGCACATAGGTATCAATTATTCACGAGTTATAAACTTTAACTAATATTAATATAAAAGCCAATGTTTTTGGTAAATAAAATGTTTACGAAAAATGAAAATGAAAAGCAAACAGTTTTATTCTGTAAGCCGATAAGCTGATAATCTGATTAGCCGACTATTTTAATATTAAGTCACGGTTATTATTCGTCGGGTAGGTAAAAGAGCAACAACAACAGGGCGCCTGTTAGTTGTAAGGTTTGTTTAAGGCCGCTCGTCTAGAGGCTAATTTTTGTTGCGATGCTGTTGTCTTAGCATCGATACAGTCGCGAAGTGTATACAAAAGTAACACATGTTATGTACCGATGCTGTCGCACTTCAGATACAGCGCGACGGCTTTGCTACAAACCTACTACCCGTGGGCGAGCTGCCTAAGTTACATTTGTCAAGCAGGTAGACTAACTGATTCAATAGAAAAAAATATAAAATATAATAAGTTACATAATAAATATGGAAATCTGAGTATTTTCGATTAACGCACCAATCGACAAGGGGAATTTTCGATTTTGACATATTATTTGAGAAACGTTGAAAGCCTATAGATTTTTAGCTGGAAGGTAGCGCTGAAGTTTTGCACTGAGAAAATAGTAAACAATACACATGGATAAATACAAGAATCAATTATTTTAAACACTCAAGTCCATGACGTTACCCGAGCGTACGGCGCGTCGCGTTACGCGCGCGCCTCAAAGGGCTATCAGACCACCACAGATGGGGCACAATAGGGCTGATGCCGATTCGTAGTCGCGGAGGCCCTAACGGGTTACCGGGGCTCCGGCTCAAAGTGCAGAAGGGACGAAGTGGTTTTTAGTCAGTAACAGTCTGACACTTCCTCCCGCCTCACCAATGCGGGAGAAATCATTCCATGATTTTCCACGCTTAAAAAAGTCCATGACGTTTTTAACGTACCATTCTGCCGTTTGATGAAGTATTGTTCCATTAAATTGGTTTCTATATTATTCTTATTTGCAAATGTAATCATTCCACATCTGGTCTTAATTAGGTCCGTAATAGAATGTGATGTAAGAAAAACAACGTTGAAAAATTGATATATTTTTTATATAAGAAATGGAATATTAAATGTACGAGTCGTTTTTAACGTAACGATGTTTTTCCAAGTCTGGTCTCAGAGGATTGTCTTATTTTTTCCGACTGTTGTGAATATGGAGATAAGTCAAGCATATTGAGATATTATTTATACGCCTACCCAAATGTTAGTGCTTTTGCGTTTCATGGATAGATCCTGGAGTCGAAGGATTTATGTTAAAAATCAAACAGTTTTAGCCCTCATGTTTTGATATAGACTAACTCTACTTCAGCGGTAATTATTGTTAGATAGAATTTGAAGACCAAATATTATTAAAAACAATATACTCATACTGTAACTGTACGCGGTCGTGTGAAGATTGATGCATCCTTGGATTCATATGTTAAATGACCTTAGGAAATAAGGAAAAAACTATAAGGACGTTGAAAAAACTAGTACAGTCTCTTGAAACAATGACTATGGCACCTGGCTAGTGTAGACTTTTCAACGTTCTTGCATCCAGCAGAATACATACTCCTAGGTCATTTCCACACTGGTCACATTGTTTGATTAAAATGACAGTTGTGATGACGCTGACTTTGACGTTGTAACTTTGACAGTCCCCGTTCATGTTATCATAACAAACCGACGAACTTTTTCAGAGCTCTACGTTGCCTTCGTTGGCTGCTCTTATTTGTGGTGCCATGTAAATTTATTTAATCAAAGTAACACCGTAACTATCTACCCTTCCATAGTTCCGTTTGGCGTCGTATGTAGAATATTTGGACCTCTTATCTTAAATTGAATATTCCGCAAATATGTCGAAACTATACAAGGCGGTTATCGGTGTTGTGGACAGATTTGTCCCTAGTGCCATGCGTCCATTGTGGGAACATCCAGCTGGTAATTATAACACTTATGTTACACTGGTAATTATACTGGTCTATAACATTTATGTACATGATTAAAAATGAATCCGTTTTTCCCTTGGTCACGGCATTACGCGTGAATGGCTATAGGAGAATCTTAAAACAGAAAAAATCTGAAAATCGGGAACGAGAGAAAACGGGATTGCGCGTACGAAGTCGCGGTCAGAAGCTAGTATTTGATGCTGGCTTCGTAAAAAGTCTGTTTTTTACTTCAGACCTTAATCTACCTCTGATTCAAATTTCATCCCGGTTCCTTCAGCCGTTTTGATGTGACTGAGTATGAATAATAAACATTCACACAACCACACAAATTTACGCATTTCTAATAGCGGTTCAGCAAACAACAGTCGGTACTACAGTTACAGCGTAAGGTCCACTGGCGGGCAACCTACCTTTCGCCAAACTAATATTTGCGTTAAGTACAGTAATTGTGTGGAGCAGCACAATTAAGTTTGCTTTTTAGTGTAGGTGTTAACGCCGAACCGCGCTCCCGCGCATCGCCAGGCGGTGCAGGCTGGCGCGCCTGCGCTGATTCATTCCGCCACTGGCCGACCCAATGGTCACACGCACTTGTGCAGCATCGCTCGCCTCGATAGTTACACGTGTATGGTGTATCATAGATTTAGCTTGCCTAATTAAAGTGATTTATCTCTCCGTGTCATCTTTTCAACAACCCTCGTCAACAGTAGGTATGTGCTTTATCGGGATAAAAAGTACGGTGTTTCTATACCGATTTCTATAATTCTTTACAGAATACAGTCGATACAGAATCGACCTCACTACAGATTTATTATAAGTATATAAATAGATGAAAGATCAATAAAAGATGTTTATTTACACTCGGTTTTTTTTACAGGACCAAAAACTATATTCTTCTGGGCACCTGCAGGCAAATGGGTAAGTAATGCGGAAGTCGCATCAAGGTCTGAATATAACTGACTTTTTCCCGTGAAGGAAGCAAAAAATCTATTGACCTAATTTGGGAAATAATAATAATTATAACATGCAAATCATGTAATAAACTATTGTGGCTTTGTGGTATTGTGATGAGGATTAAATTGCAGTGTTAAATATTATGTTCTTCGGAATACTCACGTCATTATTTGACGAGGTACTCGACTAGTTTCAAGCCATGCTAGAGGCTCATATTCATGAGCAGTATTTCGCGACAAGCGACGCGGCGACTGTCGCGCTGCTACCAGCTGCTGTCAGTAGCAGGAACTAGTCAAGTTCCTCGTCAAATAATTACATTAGTAAGCCGAAAAACATAATGATTAATTTAGTATGTCTCATGAAAGTTATAACATAAATTGCAATGTGTTATTAGAAGCTAATATGTACTGAGCAGTCCAACAATGTGACTAAAACAGAAGTCAGTTATGTAGATAACAAAGTAAATCGTTTTGACTCATCACTTTAATCACTTTCAGAGCTTGGTGATAGCTGGGTTGGGAGACGTGAATCGGCCAGTCGAGAATTTATCTATTCGCCAGTGCTCGTCACTAGCGATCACGGGCATGATCTGGTCACGATATTCTCTAGTTATAATACCCAAAAACTACAGTCTTTTTGCCGTCAATGTGTTCGTAGCTTTAACAAATTTATACCAATTAGGCAGAGCATACAAGTACAATACAGAAAAGGAAGCACTTAAAGAGGCGAAGAAAAAAGGAAAGTGATTGTCTGTGATAATCTGTGTCGTCAATATTTAAAAGAAAAAAATAACTTTAGGAATTTGGTTTGGTCGATAGTTACGGGATGTTACTTTTAGCCTGTAGCTTGAATAGGTATGTTTATTTTTTAATTTTTAATAGTTTCTATGTGAATAAATGAATGCCTTTTATTCATTATCTGATAGAATCTTCTGAAACATTGACAATGCAATTATAGAGATGGCTTTCCAATGACTAATACGATTTATTTGTATTGACTATATTTTACTTGTTAGTAAATTTGGGGAATTATTGATTTATAGATTAAATATACTAAGAACAATTTTAATCTTTGAAGGTATGTTAGAGAGAAGTACATAACGACGGTTTTTTTAATGGGGGTAAATCATCGAATGACTGCTCCCGCCTGGGTGAGGCGGGAAGGAGTGTCAGACTCTTACTGACTAAAGACCATCCCGTTCCTTCTCCTGCACGTCGAGCCGGAGCCCCGGTTACCCGCTAGGTTCTCCGCATAACGACGTTATGCGGTTAAACTGTTATTTACTTTTCAAACAAAGGCCTAAAATTCTGTACCTATATACAATACAAACAATACTATTTTACTAGCTGAATGCGTAAAAAAATATAAATTTGAAGGTAGATTCTCGTGCCAATAGATCGCGTTAGTAACAGTGGATTCTGGTTTAGGCGGGACTTTTTATAATGACTTTGGCTGTCTGATTTTTTTTTAATTGACTATTTTGATATTGCATGCAGTATACGATTTTAATTTAATTAAAGACGATATTATGTTCGTTTCATAAGTTGTATCTTCGTAATTTACTGGATCCGCCGTAATCAATTACAAAAAAATTACGTTTAAAATTGTTTATATTTTGCGCCAGAATTGAATATGGTGTTGGGATTTTTAGCGTAATCTAGTAACGGTTGGCTCTGTGACAAAAATTATACACACTGTCTTTTAACCTATCTAAATGATGACGTATTGTATAGGTACTTGAGGTCTGATTAAACCATTTTCTTAACTGTGATAATGAAACATAAAATGTGGTTAATGTCAACCAACCAAAGGTAGTATTGTTATGTATAGCATTATTAAATCATACATTTTGTAAATGATTTTTAAAAATCCTTTTATTTTTGGATTATGGAAATATATATTTCATAATATTTCTTGTTTCTATTTACTTTCATACTAGCTGTTGCCCGCGACTTTGTCCGCGTTGAATATGAGTCCTCTTTTATCCCATGGGAGCGGTCGGTGTACCAAATTTCATCAAAATTCGTTTAGTAGTTTCAGCGTGGTTGACGGATAAACATTCAAACATCCAAATAAAGAAACTTCACATTTGTAATATGATGTGATTACTGTTTTCGTTCTCTCACTTTAACTGACTATACTGTTACTCTTTTTTTATGGAGGGAAAAATCATCGAATGACTGCTCCCGCCTGGGTGAGGCGGGAGGGAGTGTCAGACTCTTACTGACTAAAAACCACCCCGTTCCTTCTCCTGCACGTCGAGCCGGAGCCCCGGTTACCCGTTAGATTCTCCGCGACTCCGAATCAGCATCGGCCCTGTTGGGCCCCATCTGTGGTGGTCTCATAACTCTTTGAGGTGCGCCGAACGCGACGCGCCATACGCTCGATACTGTTACTCTAGGAGCTCGATTTGAACAACCGATAAAATGTGTAGTACTAATTGAAACAAACAAAATGTGTACAAATTGTGTAGTGGATACTTCTTCTGGTGTCAACTTGGTTATATCGTGTGTCGGTTGTATGTGTTCTCAAGAGACTTTGACCAGGGGGCTTACTGTTCAATCCAAACTCTCGATCGATCGATCGATCGACTTTGGTATTGTGAAATTTCGTACTCTTGAGTTGCAACACTAGCGCCCATTGCATATGTATTGCGTGGATATTGAATGAACTAAATGGTATTGAGTTTGGCTTTACATTCCGTACTCTGAATGCTATTTTAACAGCTACGACTGTGGTTGTATAGATTTGAAGTTGAATCATTATTAAGATTTTATTGGATTGAAATTGCATTGACATTGAGATTGGAAAGTGTGACCCTCGGCTTGGACCTGACTGGTTTAATAGCTCAAAACTATAATTTAGTAATCTAAATTCGTCCTAATATTACAATTAATGCAAAAGATTGTGAGGATGTATGTGTGTGTGTGTGTGTTTGTTTTTTGTTACTCTTTCTTGTCAATATGGCTGAAGGAATCGAGATAAAATTTAGAACAGTGGTAGATTATGGTCTGGTATAAAATATAAACTAAATTTTATCCCAAAGGAACGCGGCGAGCAAAGCCACTGGTAGAAGCTAGTGAGGAATATTTGCACCCCAGATTGGCTGCTATTAGTTGAGCAGTAGAATACCAACCAATCAAATGGCTAAACTCGGTCGTTAGCATAAAGATATTTCACATACTCAGTACTCAGAATAAGCTCAAGGGCTCAAGGCACGGAATATGGTGCCAATGTCAAGTGAAGGAAGCGCTTCAAGCCAGATATAACCTTCAAATATTTTCGGAAAATACTCGAAATCGTTGACAAAAACACTCTTCGCAAAATGTTAACAAGCTCACGAAATATGCGCCGGTGAAATTATCATATAAGAATTCTTTTTATGAAGTTTCAATGTTCGCCACATTTTCCCTGAACTCATGAATCGAATACCCTTTTGGTTGAATTATTATAAGCAGACATATAAACCAAGTTCTATTATTGATTAAAGGTAATTGGGTTGGTAACAGAACAATATTGGGTTTTGGGAAGAATGTATGGTCATATCTGCCGCATGTCAGGCGAGCGGTCGCGCTAGGCTCAGAAGGAGATGGCGGGATGAACTAGACGTAATCGATTGGCCACAGAAAGTTAGGTATAAAAGGAGTGTGAGTGGCACATAGGCCACTGGGCATAGCCCAGGAGTGGGACGAGCATGGCTGAAAATAAATATAATAAGTAAAAATTGAGAAGTACATAGTTTTCATTCTTATTGATGCACTAGAAGAATTTAAAGATACATCAATATAGAGTAAACAATCTAGATATTTCATTGGGTACAGCCAATGAAATATCTAATTATAAACTCCTGCAACCAAATAACATTGGCGCAGAAAACAATTTATTATTGCAATCCTTAGCAAACCTCAGGGCGGTAACTGACTATGAATTAGTAATTCGGAAGGTCCAACTCAGTTGACCACGCGTCTTAATAAATTAATCTCAGGAACGAATGAATTTGTAGTGCAGCCAGAGACGGTTGTACCTCTGTTACCAAATTCGGATTGTTTTTGTTTCTTGTTTTGTTTCTATACATTCCCTAAGGGCACAAACCAGGGGGAAAATATCACAAAAACATACAACGGGGTAATTTGATACGACGACAAGGAATGGATTCATTTCATTTATGTCTCGATTTTTACATAATTATTCGGACTTTGTTTTGTAAACAATGTTTAGTCGATCGCTGGAAAGATTTGCATCCCTAAAGGCGCTGGTGGAAAATTAAGTATCTTTGTAAATATATTACTGCTTGTACAAATAGGTCATAATAGATCTTAGCAGCTACAAAAAGTAGAAATATAATGGCTCCAGTTTTGTCTAATCCATTTAGTTTGACTTCATTTAACTTTTCTTTATGGAATAGAAAAGCAAACGAATCACTTGATGGTAAGCAATCGGCGCCACCGCATCACCCGCAACGCCAAATGAGTTACATGGGCGTTGCCGACCTTTTGGGGATTAGGGATTTGAGGATCGACGATTTGGGGGTTTATATATCAATTTGTTTACATTACGTAAATTTCTATGAATTATACGTTGTTATGGTATGTACTTAAACGTATAACGTGTGGTATTATACCTTAATTATCAAAGGTACGGGGCCCTTTGTTGCGATAACTTTCAACTATTTTAATGGAAGTGGGTTAGTTTTGATATGAAACTCTCCAGCTTGGACTGTTGTTTAAACTCGAACAACTGAGTTTGGGCAAAAGAGAAAATACTAAAATAATATTTGAAGTTGAAACTATTCATTTATGTTTCAAATTTACGCGTTTTATCGGCCGTCGCCTGTTGGGTTTTTAAACTGAATTTTGAAGTTTGTATTTTAATTCTTGTATTGAAATATGTAAGTGTGCTAAAATATTCGATGCTGACTCGTGTTTGAATTTGAAAGTAACCATTCTCATCTCTTAAAAGTTTTCCAACATTAAATGTGCTGCGATTACGAGTAAGTGTCGTGGTGGCGTCGTGGTGGCCCGGAGGTTAAGACGCCCGCTTCTCATGCATAAGGGTGCGAGTTCGAAACCTACCAACGGCAAGTACCAATGTGACTTTTTCCGAGTTATATGTACTTTCTAAGATTATTTAGACACCACTGACAAACGATGAAGGAAAACATCGTGAGGAAACCTGGACTTATAATTTCTAATTATTCGTTTGAAATCGCCAACCCGCAATGAGCAAGCGTGGTGATTAATGCTCAAACCTTCTCCGTGTGTGAAGAGGCTTTGCTCAGCAGTAGGCATTTATAGGCTGTTGATGATGATGATGATGATGATGATGATGATTACGAGTAATATTTTAGTTCTAAATTTAACACATAATAATTACCTTATTACTTTACCTAGTTCTGGGTCAAAAAACTGTAACATCTTATCAATCATAACAAACATCTTGTTAAAATTCTGACATACTGAGAATTTTTTCAAAACCCAGTAATACTTTGCCTGACCCGGGAATCGAACCGGAGACCCCTTGCCCGGCTTGCTCGACAAATGAAACTTAAACGCTAATTGAAGAAGTTGAATAGAAAAGTCAATGAATGAACTTGAAATAAGTATATAGTATTTAATTTTACGAATTATTTTTATTCCTAAAGATTATTCCATTGTTTTACTGAATAAATTCGGAAAACTTCCTAATTATTCCTCACACAACGCAAGGAGTAAGAACGTAAAACAATAACAGCCCTACATTTCCAAAA